AGCCACTTCAAAATTTGCTGTAGCCACCTCAGGCCCCCCTCTCCACATGTTTCTGGGGGGAGCCCCACACACTGCTATGTGCACACACCCCACATGCACCCACATCCCCACACGCACACCCCACACCCATCCCCCACAGACACCCCCAGCCACCCTCCCCCCTCCAAACATCTCATAAACCCCATATCCACCCAAACACACACACAGCCTCACAAACACACCCGCACAACCCCCCATACTCACCCACCCACATCCACACATACCTTCTCATCCTCCCCCACATCTCACATACACACCCACTCACAGTCCCCCACCCACCCCATACCCACCCCTCCATACCTTCCCACCTCTTCACACTCCCCTACAATATTCAAGAGTAAGACCTCATTTTGAGCTATTAAGCTATTAACATAAAATTAAAATATGTTGTTATCAATATTTGATTTTTAGTATACAATTTGTTTTTTTTTTCCTGTTCCAAGACGGCAACCCCCCCCCCCCCCCCCCCGGGAATAGTTCTGCGGGAAGGAGAAGGACTTCTGGTGGCAAAGTTAAGGGCTTTGGGGGTGGGACTTCCATCCCAAGATGGTGACCAGGGGCCTGTCAGGAGGTGGAGCACCTGCCAAGGGGTGGGGCTACCCTTGCAGCCCTCCAAAACTCATTAAGTGGCCCTCCACCCAAAATAATTGCCTACCCTTGCTCTACCCTCTCCATCTTCCTTCACTGGGCTGTGCAGGCAGGGAACAGAGGCTTTTCTGGCTCCTGTCTGTGACAGCCTGGGGGCAGGGCTGTTCCAGCACCCACCTGGAGCAGACGAGCACTGTGAGAGGCTAGCATGCCACCCTGCGAGGGGTGCCTGGGGTGCTAGAGGACAGCAAACTAAGGTGATTTGCTACAGGATCTGGGACGGTAGTTTGATATACTGCTCTAATCTAAACTGATTAAGTCTGATACTATGTCTGTCCGGGTCTATCTTAGACCAGGTTCTGCTATTTTGAAACTGGGCAGTGTGTGCTGAACTTCTGTTCTGTTACAGGTTTGGGCTGGTTTTTGATCACTTATATTGGTTTATGTCCAGTGTCCATTCCTAGCCTTAGGCTATTTTTAGTTAAATAGAATTATGCAGTTGTATTTTGTATGCATGTGTGTTGGACATTAGCAAATTGAGCATTTATGGGTATGCAACCTGTTTATGCTGCATTTTCACTTAGCAGAATTTAATGTGTAACTGAGCGTCTGTATGGTAGTGGCATCTGCTAGGAAAATCAGGAAAGCCCATTCCTTTCATTAAGTATTATTAATGGCTCCTAAAGGAATGTGGGGGTTGACCACACTTTTAAATCCAGCCTTTCTCCTAGAAAATGCATGCTTCCTTTTATCTTTCCAGAAGAGACACTAGGGATGATATAATTTAGAATCTAGAACTGTTCAAAGATTTTATATGTTGACTTCAAACATTGTTGCCATGATAAATGAAATTGTGGCTTTTAGCTTATGCATCACCTATTACTAACCATTTAAGGAATATAAAATAACTCTAGTACTATTAGATGAGATTATCAACTGTCATGACTGCAGTGTGTTCAAAAGTTGAAGCACATTTTGTGTTAGCACAATTTTAGATTTTAAAAGCACAATTTAAATTTTATGTCCACTGATGTTTTATATTTTTTATTCTTATTTTTCAGGACAATCGCATCAAAACATCTAAATACAACATTCTTACTTTTTTGCCTGTTAACTTATTCGAACAATTCCAGCGGGTTGCAAATGCTTACTTCCTGTTCCTCCTGATTTTACAGGTAACATATGTTGGCTTAGAAATGGTATTTCATAGAATCATAGAATCATAGAAGTAGGGTCAGAAGGGACCTTGTAGATCTTCAAGTCTGACCGCCTGCCTGGGCAGAAGAAAAACTGGGCTCAAATGACTCCAGCCAGGTAGGCATTAAGCCTCTTCTTAAAGACCCCCAGGGTAGGAGCCAACACCACTTCCCTTGGAAGTTGGTTCCAGATCCTAGCCGCCCTGACTGTGAAGTTTTTCTTACGGATGCCTTACCTATTCTCCAACAACTTATGGCTGTTGTTCCTTGTTATGCCAGGGGCGGTAGGGGAAACAAGGTCTCTCCCAAACCCTTCTGGTCCCCCCTAGTGAGTTTATAGACAGTCACCAGGTCCCCCCTCAGCCTTCTCTTGTGAAGGCTGAACAGGTTCAGGTCCCGCAGTCTCTCATTGTAGGGTCTGCCCTGTTGTCCCCGGATCATACGGGTGGCCCTCCTCTGGACCCTCTCCATGTTGTCCACAATCCTCCTGAAGTGGGGCACATAGAACTGGACACAGTATTCCAACTGTGGCCTGACCAGTGTCACGTAGAGGAGGAGGATCACCTTCTTGGCCCTACTTGTGATGCATCTGTGGATGCACGACAAGGTCCGGTTAGCCCTGCCAACCATGACCTCGCATTGTCAGCCCATGTTCATCTTGGAGTCAA